AGCTGGCCTTGGTGAGCTCCCAATAGATCAGCCCCACTGTCTCAGTGGGTGGGTGCACCCCCCGTGGTCCTGACATCCTTGCTCGTGTTCTCCCTCCATCTGCTCCTCATTGGGACCTTGGGAGCTCAGTCCAGTGCTCCAGTGTGGGTCTCTGTCTCTATCTCCATCCATCACCATTGGAAAAGTTTCTTAAAGGAACTGTGTGCTCTCTGCACTGGAAGGACAGTCTTTAGAGGCACGCAGTACTGTGTGGCGTGAGAGGAAGATGGCATGTCACAGCTGCTTTAAATCGCAGCAGCCCGCCCTGCCAGGGCTCCTAGGGATTGGCTGGCTGTTGAGACACCTACCTCCTGAATGCTGGAAGTCAGGGTCGCATTTATCATCGCAACCCCATCTTTCAGGGCTTTCAACACATGGTAAGATCCATTGGAAGTACTTAGTTGCTCTTCAAAATATTCCTTCAGAAACTGGAACGTGATCTTGAGATTCTGAAACCAGTCCAATGGCAAAACTAATCTGAAGATGTATTTTTCCCCAAATACAATTTCCCTAAAACCATTTTAATGCCAAGCCACATAAGACTGTAGCTATGCACTCAAGGGATGAAGACCTAAGAACAGGGGGTGGGTGTGTGCTGGGGAGATGGTTCAGTCATTAAGAGCAGTTGTTGCTCTTGTAGAAGGCCCAATTCAGTTCTCAGCATCCACAAGGCAACTCACAACCACTTATAGGTCTAGCTCCGGGGATCCAACACATCTGGTCTCTGGGCACCTGCACACACATGTACACCCACAAACACATAATTAAAATTAAATAAACAGAAGCTGGGCCGTGGTGGCACACACCTTTAGTCCTAGAGACAGAAGCAGGCGCGGGTCTCTGAGTTTGAAGCCACCTCCATCTGGTCTAGCAAGTTCCAGGACAGGCAAGGCTACACAGAGAAGCCCTGTCTCAAAACAAAACAAAACAAAACACAAAACCCAACCCAAAAAGTAAAAAATAAACAGGAGCTGGAGAGATGGCTCAGTCCTGCTTTTCCAGAAGATCCCAGGTTCAGTTTCCAGTACCGACATGGCAGCTCACAACCATGGAACTCTAGTTCCAGAGGATCCTGTTCCCTCTTCTGGCCTCTGTTCAGTATCAGGAATACATATATGTAGAAAACCACTGTACACACCAAGTTTTTTCTCTGTGAAACAGCCACAGCTGTCCTGGAACTCACTCTATAGACCAGGCTGGCCTCAAACTCACAGAGATCCGCCTGCCTCTGCCTCCTGAGTCCTGGGATTAAAGGTGTGTGCCACCACCGCACTAAGCTATAATTAATTGATTCAAAAAATAAGTACAAAACTTTTGCTTTCCCTCATGGGAAGTCTGTCAGAAAGGTGTGATTTAAGATGGTATTCGTGATGCATAGTGCCTGACTCAACCCTGTCAGTCCTGGGCAGGAAACAGAAGTATGGCGTGCGGAGAGAGGCTTGTCCCCAGCTGTTACTGGGCTCTTCAGCTCCTACCTGTAATCCCGACCATATTATGACTTTCAGGTTAGCATTCCCCAAGGACAGTTAATAGTAATAATAATAATCACAACTAATAACTTGCATTTACAAAGGTAAAGATTCAGAGCAAAGGAAGAAAGATGGCTTTCTCCCACTCAGATAGCCCATGCCAGGAGCTGTCCACAGAGGATCTAAGAAAATAAGAGAGGGCTGTGGTGTGCTCAGTTGGGAGAGTGCTTATCTTGTGTACTCGAGGCCCTGGATTCGAAGCCTAGAAGCACATGAAACTGGACATGGGCACACATCTGTAATCCTAGCACTCTCCTGAGTAGATGCAGAAAGGTTAGGAGTTCAAAGTCATTGTCTTCTACACAGCTAGCTAAAAGTCCAGTGTGGACTATGTGAGATCCTGTCTCAGACAGGGAGCAAAAACAGAGCAAAAACCAAAGAGACTCACGTCTGAAATATGAACCTTTGTGCTGCTTTTATCAAACACGTCAACTGTGACGACATACACCTGGCCCACCTCGAGACTCCATCGGCCGCCAGGATGAACCGTGAAACCTGCATGCAAAGCAAGAAACATGAGACTGGGAAGCGGTCCGTGTCCTCCTACCGCGAGGTAACAACTACGAACTTAAAAACAAAAGATGCATCACATAGTTACTCTCTACTGTTATAAACACCGGGGCCAAGCACAGTGGTTTGAATGAGACGTCTCCTCAACAAGTTTCAGGCATTTCTTGGTCCCACTCTTGGCTGCTTGGGGAGGAATACTAGGAGTAGCCTTATGGGAGGAAGCCTGTCACTGTGGGCAGGCTTAAGGTTCCAACAGCCTCCACCTTCTGCTTGTGGGCACAGCCATGTGTGCCCGGCTGCTGTTCCAGCGCACACCTGCCAGGTGCCATGCTCCCGTCATGACAACAATTGATTTCTAGCCCTCTGGAAATGTCAGCTCCAAATAAATCCTTCCTCCCCCCAGGTGCCATGGCCATGGTGTCTCGTCATAGCAGCAGAGAAACCAAGCAGGGTGGGGCTTGCTTGTCACCCCAGCACTCAGAGGCAGACAGGTGGTTCTCTGTGAGTTCAAGGCCAGCCTGGTATTCAGAGCAGATTCCAGGATAGCCAGGGCAACACAGAGAGACCTTGTCTTAGAAAAACAAAACAAAGCAAAAAACAAAAGAAGGAAAGAAAGAAAACGAATCAAAGTCAGGTTGAATTCAGTCTGAGACTTTGGCAGTCCTTTTTTGTTTAATGTATTCATTTTAGTGAATTCATTTATGTTTAATGCATTCATTTAAATTATCCAACTCTCTGAAAGCCATTATCTAAAATTACCTAAATATCCAGGCTCTACGACACATATGGTAGCGTTTGGCAGTCCAGATACAGAGCACATATGGACACCTTAATTTTTGCTAAGGAAGTTATCTGAGCCAGTACTGGGTACAAAAAGAAAGATGAGCCACCGAAGAAAAAAGAAAATGTACAAACAAAACTACACACACACACATACGCCTGTGTTTCATTTTCTTTGGAAAGACAAAACTTAAATATGAACACTTCTGAGAAAAGCCTGAGGACAGCCCAGTAAGATGGCTCAATGGTAACATGCAGCTGCTGCTAAGCCTGAAGCTAAGCTTGATCCCCAGGACCCACACGGTAGGAGAAGGCTGGCTCCCACAGCTGTCACCTGACTACACGCGCACGCACACACACACACGCACACACACTGCTGTGAGAACACGCACACACACACTGCTGTGAGAACACGCACACACACACGCACACACACGCACACACACTGCTGTGAGAACACGCACATGCACACGCACACTGCTGTGAGAACACACACACACACTGCTGTGAGAACACGCACACACACACGCACACTGCTGTGAGAACACGCACATGCACACACACACTGCTGTGAGAACACGCACATGCACACACACACTGCTGTGAGAACACGCACATGCACACGCACACTGCTGTGAGAACACGCACATGCACACGCACACTGCTGTGAGAACACGCACATGCACACGCACACTGCTGTGAGAACACGCACATGCACACGCACACTGCTGTGAGAACACGCACATGCACACGCACACTGCTGTGAGAACACGCACATGCACACGCACACTGCTGTGAGAACACGCACATGCACACGCACACTGCTGTGAGAACACGCACATGCACACGCACACTGCTGTGAGAACACGCACATGCACACGCACACTGCTGTGAGAACACGCACATGCACACGCACACTGCTGTGAGAACACGCACATGCACACGCACACTGCTGTGAGAACACGCACATGCACACGCACACTGCTGTGAGAACACGCACACACACTGCTGTGAGAACACGCACATGCACACACACACTGCTGTGAGAACACGCACACACACTGCTGTGAGAACACGCACGGCCATCTGGTTCACACTCCACTGCCCTCCCCCACATACTCCATCAGCAAACTTGCTGCCATCGGCTCCCTACAGCTCCACTTCCTCCTCTTCAACTGCAGTCACGTGCAAGTTTCTCTTCTCTTAGGTTCTCTCTGGCAGAGGATGTTGATCAGCTGTCAGACTTGCCCAGCAAGATGAAACCTTGGGATCCATCCCCAGCACCACCTAACCCAAAGCAGTGGTGCCCACCTGCAGCTGCAGCGCTTGGGAGATGGGGAGGATAAAACTCCTGGGTATCACCTGCTACATCATGAGGCCAGTCTCTCTGTGTCTTTTTGTAATTTCTACCTGCTTTTCTTCTTTTCAAAACTGAGCACTTTTACTAACAATGTGATCCAGACGTCCTACTACTAGTCTTTTACTTTTATTTATTTTCTTATTTTAGTTATTTTTATTTTATGCGTATGAGTGTCTGCATGTATAGTATGTCTGTGTCCCGTGTGCAAGAAGTGCCTGAGATGATCAGATCCCTTGAAACTGAAGTTATAGCCACCATGAGAATACAGGAATCCAACCTGGGTCCTCTGAAAGAGCAGCCAGTGTTCTTAACCACTGAGCCACGCCTCTAGTTCCATGTTTGTTTGTTTGTTTGACAGTCTTGCAATGTAAAAGCCCAGGCTGGCTGAGCGAACAGCAGTCCTGCCCTGGCCACCAGGAGCACCATGCTTGACGCCACAACCAGCTTAGGCTTTCAGCCATTTTTGGATTAGTCAGGAACTTGACATATTATATATATATATAATTCTGCTAGGGATTTAGGGACACACCTTCCGCTCAGATGGCGTCCAGGAAGCAACCATTCTTCTGTGGGTATGACATTTTAGATGCTTTAAGATGACTAACAGCTGGCCATGCTGACAAAGGAATACAATCCTAATATTAGAAAGTAAAACCGTGTCTCAAAAAAGAAAATTGTGGGGCTGGAGAGATGGCTCAATGGTTAAGAGCATTGCCTGCTCTTCCAAAGGTCCCAGCAACCACATGGTGGCTCACAACCATCTGTAATGGGGTCTGGCGCCCTCTTCTGGCCTGCAGGCATACACGCAATACAGAATATTGTATACATAATAAATAAATAAATATAAAAAAAATTGTGTGTGGGTGTGCAAGTGTGGGTGCAGGTGCCCTCAGAGCCTGGAAGAGGGCAGGTGCCCTGGCGCTGCAGTTGCAGGTGTTCGGGAGCTACCTGACATGGGCGCTGACCTCTTCTGGACCAGCAGCAAGTCTGTTAACTGCTGGGTCATTTCTCCAGTCTTATCATCACTTTTTAAGAATTAATTTATTTATTTAATATGCACTGGTGTTTTGCCTGCATGCATGTCTGTGTGAGAGCTGGAGTCCCTGGAACTGGACTTACAACAGTTGTGAGCTGCCATGAAGGGGCTGGAATCGAACCCAAGTCCTCTGAAAGGGCAGCAAGAGCTCTTAGCCATCCCTTCAGCCCCACCCCATAATAATTTTTAATAAGGCATTTTACCAAGAACCATACCTACTATGCTCAGAGAAGTTTAGACTGGCCACTAAAATTGACAAAAGGATACTTTTGTGGACAAAGACCAGGTTAGTTTGGCCCAGCTGGAGAGCGGTGACCGTGGCTGTTTTCTCATCCAGCAGAGCCACTTTCCCAGAAGTAGAGCGGTTATTCGTGCATCTGTGGTCTTGCAATTCCAATGTGTAATGTTCCAGGGGAAATTTCACCTCTGCAAGACATGAAAGACGCATGAACCGTCCACGACAGTGGTGTCCAGTGTAGTGTGAGGGAGATAGACAGACACCTGTAACCGCTTCCAGGACAGTGGTGTCCTAGACCTTAAACCCACAGCAGGATTCCTTTCTGGTCCCTTCTTTTTCTTTTGATTTTTCTTTCTTTCTTTCTTCCTTCCTTCCTTCCTTCCTTCCTTCCTTCCTTCCTTCCTTCCTTCCTTTTTTTTCAAGACAGGGTTTCTTTGTAGCTTTGAAGCCTATCCCTTTTTCACAAGGATGAATCTGCACGGCCACTGGCAAGAAGGGATGCTCTGACCTAACTGGTAACTTATACACTTGAAAACTAGTGAGCCACTGAGTTTGTGGCTGCACCCTTGTAATCCACCACCTAGAAGGAGTGACCAGAAGATCAGGAGTTCAAGGCTAGCCTCAGTTACCTGGGGAGTTTGAGGTCACCTGAGTTTAGCTGAGATACTGTCTCAAATGACAGCAACAGCTGGGCACGGTAATGCACACCTTTCATCCAAGTACACAGGAGGGAGGCGGCAGGTCTCTGTGAGCTCAAGGCCAGCCTGGTCTACAGAGAGAGTTCCAGGACAGCCAGGGCTGTGTAAAGAAGAAATAAACAAACAAGGCAATACAGGGGCTAAAGAGATGACTCAGCGGTTGAAGGTGTGCACTGCTCCTCCAGAGGAGCAGGGTTCAGGACACAGTATCCACATCAAGGAGCTCACAACAACCTGTACTCCAGCTCCAGGGGATCTACTGCCTTCTTCAGGACTCTGTGTGCACATGTACACATAACCACACACAGATATATACATATATACATAATTAAGATTAAAATACATCTTTGTAAAAACAGCAACAGCAAAGCAAAAAAGCCTGGTGACCTGGGCAGATCACCACTAAGCAAGCAAAGGACTAAGTTAACAGAGATCAGATAACTTTTTCTTTTCTTTTTTTTTTTTTTCCGAGACAGGATTTCTCTGCCTAACAGTCCTAGCTGTCCTGGAACTTGCTTTGTAGACCAAGCTGGCCTTGAACTCACAGAGATCCACCTGCCTCTGCCTCTTGAGTGCTGGGATTGAAGGTGTGTGCCCTTTAATCGCCCAGCCAGATAAGCTTTTCTCACTTCCCCTATCAGCTGAAAATTCTGGGTTGTCACCTTAGCAGTGGGTGCAAATGCTGAAGCTAAGTGTCATAACTAAAGCTGAATTATGTCAATAAGCTCTTTGGAATATGCAGACTTCAGGTACTTAGAAGCATTTCCCCACATCTGAAACGCAAAGAAGTGGTCTGGCCGTGGTTTGTGCACCAGGAAGAGGCATGAGTCCGAGGGAAAGCTACGCCATCTTACCTGTCATTCTTCCCTGAACCATTTTTGCAACCTGGTATTTAATATAGGCTCCTACTAAGAGATACGTATCGTGAGATGGTATAAGAAATATGTTCTCCAGAACAAGCAGACGGATCAAGGCTGCTGAGACTTTCTAAAAGAGGAAGGAGAAGAAAATTTCCTTAGACAAAAGTCATTACGCTCCCACCCTTGTTCAGAGCCTACTTTTTAAAAAACGATTTATTTATTTGTATGTTATATGCATTGGTGTTTTGCCTGCATGTCCATGTGAGGGTGTCAGATCCCCTGGAACTGGAACTACAGACAATTGTGAGCTGGGCAATTGAACCCGGGTCCTCTGGAAGAATAGCAGTACTCTTAGACTCTGAGCCATGTCTCCAGCCCCAAAGCTTACTTTTAATAAGCTAAAAAGTAGCTTTTACACTTGTTTGTTTGTTTTTACGTGTGTGGAAATGCGGCTGTCACAGGGCAACTTGCAGAAATCAGTTCTCTCCTTCCGCCACGTGGTGCTCAGGATCAAACGCAGGTTGTTAGGCTTGGCAGCCAAGTGCTCTTACCCACTGAGAGATCTCATCTGCCCCCCTCTTTCTTTTAATAAGTTTAAAAAATATATAAAGAGCAAAAAAATTTCCTAATAATCACAAATCATTTCAGGTTAACCTGAAAGTGGCCATGAAACCGTCTAACAGAGATGCAGTCTGTTAATCCAGAGCTCTTGGGCTCTAGCTCTGTCTGTCTGTCTGTCTGTCTGTCTGTCTGTCTGTCTCTTTCTCCCTCTCCCTCTCTTTAGTCCCCCCCCCCAACACCTCGCTGACAGGCCCTGTGCAGGTTAAAGCAAAAGGGAGGCAGGCACAAAAGGCAAATGCAGCACCCCTCTCCCCCTTTTCTTTCTTAAAGAGTTTACTGTTTATTTTAGCCAAGCAGTGGTGCACACCTCTAATCCCAGCACTCCAGAGGCAGAGGCAGGGGGATCTCTGAGTTTGAGGCCAGCCTCGTGTACAGAATGAGTTCCAGGACAGTCAGGGCTACACAGAGAAACCCTGTCTGGGAGGGGGTGGGTTTTAATGTGCATGGGTATTTTACTTGCATGTATGTCTGTGAACTATGTGTGTGCCTGAGTCCTTTGGAGGTGAGAAGAGGGTGTTGGGTCCCCTGAGAATGAGATCGTAGATGGTTGCGAGCTGCCATGTGGGTGCTGGGAATTGAACCTGGGTCCTTTGGAAGAACAGCTAATGCTTTTAACTGCTGAGCCAGCTCTCCAGCCCGATTCTTATTAAAAGCCAGCATTGTTCTACCCCAGCATCAGTTTATTGGGTTGTTCAGTAGGGTGCATACACAGTTGTTCTTTGGTCATGTAAATTAAATGCTTATCTAAGTTAAATGTATGAAATACATACATATATATATATGTATATATATAGTCTTTTGAGACAGGGTTTCTCTGTCCTGGAACTTGCTCTGTAGGCCAGGCAGTCCTGGAACTCACAGAGATCCACCTGCCTCTGCCTCCTGAGTGCTGGGATTAAAGGCGTGCACCACCACTGCCTAGCTGTTAGTTATAGTTTATAAATACATTACAACAGGAATCTGGGTATGATGCTACAAGGCTATAATTCCACGATTTAAGATCCTGACACATGAGAATCAGAAGTTTGAGGCCAGTCTGGCTACAAAGAGGGACTCTACCTTAAAAACCAAAACAGACCCAGAGCTGGGGAAGATGGCTCAGCCAATTCAGCCCTTGCAGACAAGTATGAGGAGCCGAGGGCATGCTGGTGTGTTTGCCATCCAAGCTCAAGGGAGTGAACAGCTGGATCCCCAGAAACAACCTGATCAGTGAGCCTCAGGTCACTGAGATTCTGACTCCAGAAAGAAGGGGAGTGGCTCTTGAAGGGCATCTAAGGACAGCCTCCGGTCTTCACAACCACACCAGAGGAAAGCCCACACTAAAATACTTAATTAAGTAAGTAAATAACAGTTGAGGGTATAGCTTAGTAGTAGAGTACATGCATGCAATCCCAGTACTAGGTGGCTAAGCTTGGAGGATCACTGTAAGTCTGAGGCCAGCCTGGGCTACAAAGTGAATTCCAGGCTAGTCTGGACTACAGAGGAAGATCCTGTCTGGAAAACCTATGGACACAGTGGCACACGTCTTTAATTCTAACACTTGGGAGACAGAGGCTTGAGGTTCTCTGTGAGTTCAAGGCTAGCCTAGTCTACATAGTGAGCTCAGAACAACCAGAGCTACAAAGAGAGACCCTGTCTCAAAAGAAAAACAAAACAGAAACCTAAAAAACAGAGGCTGAGAAATGGCTCAGTTGTTACATGCTTGCTGTGCAAACTTGAAGATCTAAGTTCAGTTCCCAGTACCCATGTAAAACAGCTGGAGAGATGGCTCAGTGGTTAAGAGCACTGCCTGCTCTTCCAGAGGTCCTGAGTTCAATTTTCAGCAACCACATGGTGGCTCACAACCATCTGTAATGGGGTCTGGTGCCCTCTTCTGGCCTGCAGACATACATGTAGACAGAATACTGTATACATAATAAATTAAAAAAAAAACAAAAAAATAAATATTTAAAAAAAATTTAAGGCTGGAGAGATGGCTCAGAGGTTAAGAGCACTGCCTGCTCTTCCAGAGGTCCTGAGTTCAATT